TTTTCTTCTGTAAACCTTTGTATTCTTTTTTTCTTCTTCTGCACTTTGCTGCTCATGGAGCCTTAAGATTTTCTGTTACTTCATTAAAAATATATGCGCATGCTGTTCCTTGGGCTAAAAGCTTCAAATTTAAAAGAGCGTAGAAACAATACTGCAAGATAAACACACAATTAACAAGAGGAGCTGGTAGTTGAGGAAGCCTACACAAAAAGATTATTCTTTAAAAAGTTAACAAGATAGATGGTAGTGCTAGGGCTGCCATGCAGAGAAATTAATTCCTTTGATTGGAAAGCTGAATACAATGTAACCTTGAAGTCTACCTAAAGATGGGAATAGACCTCCATCTGCAAATAGTTATCCCCTTTGTCTAATTTCTGTAGAGATTCTCAGTCATCCAGGTCATGGTTGTTCCAAAAATGCTTTTTCAGGAGGCAACTGGACTTCCTCGTTTTTTTTTTCTTTTGAATGCAAATTGAAACGTCTTCATAAGAAAAAAACAAATTCCAGTTGCCTCCTGAAAAAGCACTTTTGGGACTTCGTCTGATTTGTGTAGGAGAGGACCGTCTTGTAGGCATCTGCCCATAGGGTCAGATCTTCTAAATGTTGCCATCACACAATAGCTCCTTTGTAAATAGATTGGAGGATTCTGCCACTAAAATTTATGCACGAGGTTCAGCAGATACCTGTACCTTCAGTCGTCTGTTCTACCTCTTCTGCTAAATGATGGAAGCCGTCTGCTTTAGCTCATACTCAAGATGCCCCATTAATTCATGATCCTGCACTTCAGAAATCTGCAATTTGTAATACATCTTTTTGAATTCTGAGTTAATCCCTTCCACATTGGATATATGGAAGATGAAAAAAAAAAAATTCCTTGGCATTCTCAGATCAAAAGGCTGTTTCCGGTCTTTCATATATTGGTTTGTGGACTTCATTCTACTGAACCACTTGAATTTGGCTGGATGTCTCTGTCTTGGTCTTGACAGCAACAGAATGACTTAATAAATCAATTTTATTATCCCAGAAGGTGTTTTTTTTATATTATCTGCATTCATCTGATGAACTGGGTGCACTCCTATCGTTGTAGGGAGGTAAGGAAAGAGGTGGTGAACATATGAAGATTGTTTTGTTAACTAGGAGTTATGGAAACATTTAAAAAAAATGTAGTAAATGCTTAAAAGCAGAACCAGGAAGAAAAGCAAAACAAAGGAAGTACAAGCTGTAAAAAAAAAATGAAATGCCAAAGTAGATTAGAACTGCATTTTAAAGTATCTTGAATAATTTAGGACTTCAGAACTATTGTAACAATCAAGTTAGTATCAGGGAGTATATTAGTACAATATGAATTGTAAATCAGAATGAGAGCCAATCAAGGTTTCTATGTCACCTAAAAATTACATCTGTATTTAACAAATCAGACAAAAAGCTAACACTGTATGCAAAAATCCAAACTTTGTATGTATTACAAGTCTATATGTAGAATTACAGTCCATAGATGGCTTCCAAGTTGAATTAAATTCTGTTTCAGGGTTTTTCTTTTTCAAATTTTATTTTTGACAAGTGACGCATAATCCTACAACTTATTTTGGCATTCTATTAAAGAGGGAATTATGTGTGATTTCCAGTAAAAGACTTAAAGTATCCTGGCAACGGTCATCATAAACAAAGCCAACTTGGTATACTTTGTCGTGATGTATGGTTTTGGTGCTGTTTAACTGAAAGACATCTGCTAAGGAGGCGAATTCAGCCTTAAGATTTATTTCATTCTGAAATAAACTGCCTTCCGGAATGATTGAGCTTTACAACATTGTCCCCAGATACTAAAAAAAACCCACAGACTTTTGCAAGCTACTTGGGTCATTGAGAATTAGATGCATAAATGCTTTGTTGTTATTATATTACATTTACAAAAGTTTCTAGAAAATGAATAATCCATTTTGTTAACCATCAGGGGAGTAATAGTTTGGCGTAAAAAATCTTGATAAATTTAATATTTATCTTCCACCCCTCTGTGGTGATAAATTTATTATTTATTTTCCAGCAATATCTCTCATTGTTACACATTAATTATTCTGTTTTAATGGTGCATCCATTTAAAAACCGCATTAGCAGACCATAGCTCTTCCATCACTATTTCTTGAAGTTGAAAAGCTTGTGAAAATTTAAACCTGCGTCTAAATCCCATTCTGAGCCATGCAAGCTGAAATGGGTGACTTTGGCCCCATCACTCTCAACCCACTGAGTAGTTGTTGGAGACGATCCCAATAATACGAAGGGAAATCCCATGGAAGCTCCCGGAGCAAAGACAGGAAATAAACCTTGAGCCATGGACTGTATCGATTGAGTGTCTGGTGGCAACCCCACCAACTATGGCTGGTCCCACTCCTGCTGGAGGAGCTTTGCACACAAATAGACTGATACACTTTCAAACTTCCTTGTAGAGAAGGAATCCCCAGTCTTGGCAACTTTACAACTTGTGGACTTCGATTCCCAGAATTCCTCAGCCAGAATGTCATAGAAATGTCAAGGTGGGCAACTCCTGTTGCAAAGGACTGGGGAGCCATTTGAATGTCTGGCAAATCAGTCATTTATGAACAGATAAACAAGAGGTAGAGTATCCCAAAAGTGCTTTTTCAGGAAGCAACTGGACTTTCTTGTTTTTTCTTTTGAAGTTGTTTCACTTCTTATCCAAGAAGCTTCTTCAGCTCTGACAGAATGGTGGGGAATGGAAGGATTTACTCCAGCTGGTCATTTGCATTATTTTAGAGCGAGGGTCTTCAAACTTGGAAAGTTTAAGACTTGTGGATTTTAACTCCCAGAATTCCTGAGCTAACGTGACTGGAGGAGGGATTCTGGGAGTTGAAGTCCACAAGTCTTAAAGCTGTCAAGTTTGAAGACCCCTGTTTTAGAGGGTCGTTGAGGCCACTTGAAGATTTACGTGTGTCCTCAGGGTCACCTGAGTAGTGCTCCTGGTTCCTATAGTCTTGCACTTTTTTCCCCTTGGAAATCCATTCCTATTCCCACACTATTCCAAGGGTGTTCATCCCAAATTGTATAGCTAAAAGTCTATAGAGATTTTCAGTCATCCAAAGAAAAAGCATCTCCATGACCTGGATGACTGAGAATCTCTACAGACTTTAAGAGATAGAGTAACTTCTCTCTATGGGTGCTGAACAGGAAGTAGTTCCTGGTTTTTGTTTTTTGTTTTTCCTGCATAAGCAGCCTATGCAGTAGATTGAACTGTAAGCAAAATATTTGACTAAAAACCAAATGGAGCTGTGTGGTTGAATCAGGAATTAGGTTGGGCCCTTGTGGTTCCAAATTCATAAAAAAAATACAATTTAATACAAGAAATAAAGTAGACATGCTCAACCGGTTCTTCTTGATACTTTTAATTTGCACTTAAATTGGGCCAATCTTCTTCAACAAAGACTTCTAACAATAACAGACCTATTTTTGTTACAACATACCTTTTGATGGGCGATGGCTTCGTTTCAGTGGTTCTATAAAGTGTTGCCTCAAAACACACAGCCATCCCTCCTCCTCCTCTGATTGTTGGAGTGTCAAGTCTGCAAACAGAATAGCCAGCAGGGAAAAGAAGTGCAGGTGGCTGCAGCTGGGATAAATATCTAGAGATAATGGTAATTTGTAACAAGTTGGGTGTGATACTGATATTCTTCGGATGGTAAGGTGATTTTTAAAATGATGACCCAGATGTTTAAGGATTTGCAGAAAGGCGGGCGGGCGGGTGGGTAGGTAGATTTGGATGGATATGTATAGTTCGATAGATCTGTATAGATTTGTCTAGATAGATTGATACTAGATTTAGATTGATAAAGAGTTGTACAATGAATGGATACATTTATGTAAGGTTTAGATTGATAGATTTATATAGACAGATTTGTGTAGGATGGATGGAGATAGATTAGATAGATAGATAGATAGATAGATAGATAGATAGATAGATAGATAG